GGGGCCCCCCCCCCCCCCCTCCCAATCTACCCCCTTCGGGACCCAGGGCCCTTGCTGGCACACCACCTCGTGTCCACCCCCATCGGGGCTCAACCTCTCCTCACTAGCACATCCTCCAGTGTCTGACTCTAATACCATTTGTAACGACCCAAACCTAGCACTAGCAGATATTGTCCTCTTTGGACTTTCCCCTCAAGGTTTTTAAAATGTGTCCACTAGGGAGAGGTTTTCACATCCTTATAAAGAATGCTTCGTTCTCCAACCCAACCAACGTGGGATCTCGCACTAAGGAATTATACCAAGGTATAAAATGGTTCTTTTTACAGATATGAGACCGAGCCTGCGATTTGATCATCAGACAAACAATAGTTATATAAAGAGACCGCCATTATCACATGTGGGAGTTCTATGCTTTACCATTTCTCATTAAACCTTGTCAAGTTTAAACTGAATGCAAACATAAGAAGGAAAAAAAAAAACAACACAACATAGCACTAACTTTAAACCAAAATGTTCAGCTTCTAGCAGAAAAGCATAGCTCAAAAAAGTCGCTTATGCACCAAACAACCAAATACCTTCAAATGCACAAAAACGACTGTACAATAGATTCAACCTAAATGAACGCAGGACCATATTCGTTCATTGAATATAAAACAGCAAATAGAATCACATAACCAATTTGGAAAGTACGAACCCCAGAAGCAGAGCCATTAGGATAGACCGCGAAGATCTTGGAGAACTTGTTCCTTTGGAAACACAAACCATCTTGAATCTTTCTAATGGCAAGTAATTTCTGCGATGAATTACGGAAAATGAAAGATGATGAGATGGTTAAAGAAGATGAATCCATTGCGTATGAATGGCAGAAATCTGTGATGAAATTGGCCTCCAAAGCGGTAAGGGAAATTGAAGCTCGAATCGATGAAACTCCCGAGGAAATCGCCAATATAATGGGTTTTTTCTCTCGTTTTTAACGAATTGCGGATGACAAATTGGTGAATGAATTTTGGTACCCAGTGCAACAATCCCTTGCCCACCCGGTGTCACAATCAAACTCTTGTGGCACTAAAATTCAGTTTACGAGGCTTCAAAAATTGGGAGAATGAAATTACATTTTAAGAGAATTCTCCAAATTTCTTCTCCAACCCATTAGAGACTTTCTTTTAAGAGACCCTCACAGCCTTAAATTTGTGTTTAAGTCGTAACAAGGAAGATCTTCTGAAATATTGAAGAGTTTTTTGCATGGTTGGAATACTTTAAAAATCTTGCAAGTTAGGGTTTCAGAGTTTTTACTCTCGAATTTATTGTTTTTGTTTTAATTCATAATAAAATCTAAACAGTTCCCAATCCTTTCGTTTCGCTACCGATGAAGAGTTCATTACCTTTAATTGGTATAAGAGCCTATTAAATTTTATTTTGAATTAATCATTTATTTAAAATCATATATATATATATATATATATATATATATATGATATATGCAATTTTGATTTTGCAAAATTGATCGTTTTGGCATATTGGTGTGACACTAGATTTATCTTGTTAGACAAATCTATACCTTATGGGTTAGGTTTATTGTAAATTGAAAAGAGATAATAATGTTCATCAATTTGCTGTACTATTTAGGGTTTTAAAAACTAGAGGAAAAAATCAATTTTGCAAAATCAAAATTACCTTATAGGTTAGATTTATTGTAAATTGAGAGATTCGTATGTCTTTAACTGAACCCGAAGGTCCTAGGAACTCTAAGAGAATCTTTACCAAATAATATATTTGCATATTTAATATATTAGAATATATTTGCATATTTAATATATTAGAATATATTTTTAAATTAGTTAAGTATATTTTTATTTAAAGTAGGAAAATACAATAGATATATTTTTTCATATATGAAACATTAACATGACCTTTGTTTTTCTTCATTTATAATTATTTTTTCTTTATTTATATTTAACCTATCTAATATATTAAATATTAATTTGAACCTTCCCATTAAATATATTTTTTCTATTTATTTAATGTATTTAATATATTAAATATTAATTTGATATTTCAAATTAAATTTATTTTCTCGTTTATATTTAATACATAGATATATTAAATATCAATTTGAACCCTTCAAATTTTCTTTTAAATAAATTGAATCTTTTAGCGTTACTATGAGCTAGTAAGGAAACTTTATAGACGTACAGATTATAAGTTTTAATGATATAAAATTAATTAATTAAACTTTTACTTAATCAATTTTCATTCATTAACTATAGGTCACTCTACAGTAGACTTAGAGTTGCACTTTTAACCATTGCAAGACAAGTTACGTCCATTGATATAACCATTATAAGCAAGTCGATCCTTCGTAAGTTGTTCATAATTAGTCAAAAGTTTGTTTTACCTCTGTAATTACATCTTTCACCTTAAGTATCATTGATTATCTAATGAACAATTTATTTATGATCCAACCATAAACCAAATCTCTCTCGGGCCAATGAGAGGATGAGCCCCATTGTTCAAGTCCCGAAATCAGTACCTAAGAAAACAACTCATCTACTTTCTTTATATGGAAAAGAGTGAATTTCATCCCATGATATTATGTTCCCAACTCCCTGTTTGGTCAAGTTCCCAAAATGGTAGGCATATTGGATCGGCTAAAAGAGTCCTTCTCACCCATGTAAATTAAAGGACAAGCTTTCACATGCAGGAGTTGATAACTCACTTAGAATTAAGATCGAGTAGCATATGATCATCATGTGAAATATTAATCTTCTCAATTAACGGATTTATAAAGAGAGATTAAATATTTCTTGGTTCAGTCTTATACAAATTCATTGTATAGGATACCCACTTACATGTCTCCACATGAACAATTTGGATCAAATCATCTGTAACGATTACAAATTGGGGCCGTATCAATAGTATTACCAGGATAAGGCACCCAACCTTATCTATATACTCTAGACTGTTTAGGTTATTACTTGAACATGATTATCTTGTATGTCAAGTACATACTTTTTAAGATTACATTAATAACCTTGGATTTTAATGTCATAGATAATAATTAAATTATAAATAAAATAATAAAAATTATCGTTCGAAACTAAATAATTAATTACGAGGCTATAGGGCATAAGTCTCAACATAGTCATAGTTTTACATATTTAATACGAAATACTAAAATTTAGAGAAAACAAAAACAAAAACAAAAACAAAATAATTTAAAACGATGAAATGCAAAACAACATATTCTAATGTGAGACTAGGAATTTAAATATGACTTTACCCTATGCACGTGCCACAGTCTCTGTCCACGATATCGTCGTCTTCCGTACATGTGCGTCTTACCTTTACCTGAAAAATGATGTGACACACGACTTGAGTATTTTGAAGAATACTAAGCAGGTGGTCTCACTATAGGAGGTCATGCAAATGCAAACACATGCAATCATGCTCTTAAGATCTATCTCTATTCTCTAAGAGTGGCCTTCAGTCTCGAACAAATTGGATGTGTAGTACTTCCTTACACACGACCCACACGTGCGAGTGTGAATCTCCAGGGGGCTTGCACACCCCCTAGACCCTCTCTGGTCAAGCTAATCTATAACGACGTCTGAAGGTCAGCAGAACCTCATAGTGTCATGCTCCCCATGAACACCATCATCATCATACTGTGCGCGTCCGAACTCATCGTCTCTGGAGAAGTATCTCTATGCTTATGAACATACAATATGCATGAGGTCGCTCTAAATTTCATCTTATCGTCTCTTCTGACACAACCTTCTAGTCTCATCTCTTTGTTACTTATATTTATATTAATATCATTTTCATGCTCTTAAGGTTGTGTCCTATGTCGGTCTATCAACATGATGCAATATGACACTCATTACCATATAGCATGCTTAATATGAAAAACATAACATATTAAGACAAACGTCATGTAATCATCATACTCATCATATCGCCATAAAGTGCATAAAGCATATCAAGTACGTCATACATCAAACTATATATATTACGCACATCATCAAGCATCATAACTCATACATCATCATATACAAAACTTCATCATATACTCATATATCATCATACGATACAACTCATGCATCATCATAACTCATACAATTTCTAGCATATCCTATAGTAAGACTACTTACTCAGTTGACGTTAACCAAAGTACTACCTAATTTAATTAACGTAAACTCCTGTTCCTCGAGAGCTATTCCAAAAGTTGCTGGGGTTCGTTTTTTATCGCACCGATCGTTATCTTTCGTTAGTATTTTACATTTTAATTAATAATCCAGCTAACAATACGGTTCTAAAACGGCCTCAATTACCTTAATCAGGCCGAAAATAGGTTCGCAAGGGTCGAAAGTGTGGAAATCGGAAAAAAAAAATTGAAAACCGAGCCGATTAGCCACTGGAGCCGCCGTCGCGCCGTCCAAGCCGAAGGGCTAAGGTGACACGTGGCAGCAGCAGGGCGAGCCACGTCGTGTAGCGGCGTCGGGTCGAGACGCGGGTCTAGACGCGGATTCACGGCTGAGTTGCAGGTTGGTTCAACTGGGGCGAGGGAAACTTGGGCCTGCAGATGTGGGCTACTGGACTGTGGGCTGAGCTAGAATTGGGTATTCGGGTTGCAGATGGGCGCGGGCCCGTTTTCGGGTTGCCGGCGTGGGCTGTTGAGTGAGTTCGACCGAGGTGAGTTTGGGTCTCGGGTCTGAGCCGCTGCAGGTTGGACTGGGTTGCGGGTTATGGTTCATGTCCGACCCGGATCCGATGGACCTCCTCTTCCTTACCCGACTTCTCACGATTTTCCGACGGACCTTTCTCTCTTCTCTGTGCAGTGGTTTCCGAGGAATTTTTTCGTGAAAAGTTGGGTAAGGAAGACAAAGTTCATGGACTTCGGGTCGGGTACCCAACGGATAACTCATTACGGCAACCGCACAAATAAAACCAAAGTTTAAGAGTTAAAATGAGTTTTATAAATGACCCATTAAATGGATTCGAGTCCTTATGAAATTTTAATAAATGGTTTAATATGACGTAATAAAGTTGCATATGAAATTTGGTGGTCATTAAATAATTTTAAGACACGAGATAGGTGTAAAACAACATATAGTTGGTTTATGATCCAAATGTTCTCGAAATGACGTGCAATTTTAATGACAGACGTTATTTAATGAATTCTAAAGACCATGCAAAGTTTTACGACCAATAGATCATGTTTGGAGTTCAAACGACGATATGGGTGAAACATGACCAAAACGTCCCTAATTGTTAAACCATAAAATTTCAAGTACCTATAAACTCCAATAAGTTTAAAACTTAATATGACTCTCGTGTATGGTAACGTGCTTGACTTAAGGTTATGAGAATGACACGTTGCCATAAATATAACTTATGTTACTGTACGACCTTAAACTTTGTGTTATGTTACAAGATTAGGATGTGTTACACCTTAGGGTTAGCCCATGAATTTATGTACTAAGATGCTACTCTAGAGCCATGAACCAAGTCATACAAGATCACCGTGCATCCCGTGTTCTAAATTTACCGTAACCCCTTTAAGATTATTAGGTGTTACTCCGACTTATACCCTATATGATTCTTAACCTCCCACTACAAGATGCATCATGATTCTATGTTTTCGTAATCTAAGTGGGATGTCAGACACCATGTTTCTCTAGCAGGATGTCATGTTTCATATTTTCCTCACCTAGTGAGATGCCATGCACAATGTTTTTACCGGACACCTATCATGTTTAATAGGTTATCCTGCCTCATGTTATTGTCGGCTTGTCCTACCCATGTCTTAGGATGTCCTGACAACTTTTCTTGCCAAATGACATGTGTTTACGTTCATGATATTCACCATGTGACTTTCTAGATCTTCCATGGGGAGTAGTTTAGAGACATGTTCGGGACAACTAACATAACTCATGACCACAAGCTAAGAAACCATGTCAAGTTCCCGGTTTGAACAAGGTTGTATACTTTAACACCCACCATAGCAACAATTAAGAATCTACACGTAAGTTGCTTACTGAGTCTTGTACTCACTCCATATTTTCCATGTTTTTCAAGTAATTAGGAGTTGATCGGGAATGAGAGCGTGCTACTATAGAGAGCCACACCCAGTCCACAACCTCGAAAATTATTTTGTTATTATTATTTTTTTTAATGATTCCGTTATGTATTTTGAACATGTAAACTATACTTTTTTGGTTAATTTAAATATATGTATGCATATTATGTTTGGAATTTTTCTTATTTTTATTTCTAAAAAATTTTATCGTATTTTCAACCCATATAAGTCTCGATCCGTTCTTCGAGCAAGCCACAACATTCAAGTCACGACATCAGCATTTTTGGTTTCGTGTTAGATATTTACTTTGCAATCTCAATTATTGAAGTCTCATAAACTAATTTTACTAATTTTAATCCCATAATTATCTTAAGGTTTTATAAAATAAAAATAAGAACTATAATAAACAAACAATTAAATATACAAAACCACTTGCCAACAACTTGACAGTTTGGCCGAGTGGTCTAAGGCGCCAGATTTAGGCTCTGGTCCGAAAGGGCGTGGGTTCAAATCCCACAGCTGTCAGTTGGTTATATAAGTAATGGTATTTTTGAATTTATAAAAATATTATATTTATATTTATTTTTTATTATTTAGCCTTTATAAAATTTAACAGGAAAATTAAAATTGAATGGCCGCAATCCACACCCTACTGCTGAGGTCGCCTCCCTCCTCACTAGCCATCAGTTCTGTTTCTTTTTCCCGCCATTTCAAGCCTCGCCCAAGCTTTTGCTCTCTCTTTCACGCACAATTCTTCGTTCTCTTTCTCGATTCACGCTAATCTCGAAACGCCAGGGAAGATGTTGTGGGTCGACAAGTATCGTCCAAAAACCCTAGATCAGATCACAGTTCATCAAGATGTAGCACAGAATCTTAAGAAACTGGTAACCAAATTTCGTTGTTGTTTTCTTACCTCTTTTTTCCTTGCATTCCTGAATTCATTCTTCATTTGGCGCTTTTGATGTGTTTTTTCTTTTAATCTTCTCGTAGGTTACCGAGCAGGACTGCCCTCATTTGCTCTTCTTTGGCCCCTCCGGTTCCGGAAAGAAAACCCTAGTCATGGCGCTTATCCGGCAGATGTTTGGAGCAAGTGCGGAGAAGGTATTGGCTCTTGAGTTTTTGTTTGCTTGCTGCGATTTTTTTTTTCTGTCTCTTTGTGGTGGTTGATCTTCGCTTACCTTTCGGCTGCAGGTGAAGGTGGAGAATAAAACCTGGAAAGTTGATGTAAGTTTCCGTTTTTTAGTGATGCCATTGGAAGGCAATTGAAAGCAATTTAGTTATCTGTTTATATGATTGCTACTTCAGAATGTTATAGAATTGCGTAAAAATTTAACTAGTTGAAGCTATTATTTTGCTGTTTAACTTAATATTCTCATAATCTCTTCTTTCTCTGTCTCTATGCTCTTCCTTTTTCGTGTTTCTTCTCAGGCTGGAACTAGAAATGTTGAAATAGAGTTAACCACCATATCAAGTACAAACCACGTCGAGCTCACTCCCAGCGATGCAGGTTTCCAAGATAGGTATATTGTTCAAGAGATAATCAAGGATATGGCGAAAAACAGACCCATTGACTCCAAAGGGAAAAGGGGACATAAAGGTGTTGATTCTTCCCCATACCCTCCAACCATATTTATAAGTTGATCATGCTTGAGAACTTTATTGATTTTCATTGATCATTTGGTAGCTTTTGTTACCAGTATGCTTGAATGCTCAAGACTTTGTATATGTATAAGATATTGAGATTTTTGGTACTTGTGATGTATCAGTTTTGGTTCTAAATGACGTTGACAAACTATCCAGAGAAGCACAGCACTCTCTTAGGAGAACGATGGAGAAATATAGCTCGTACTGTAGGTTAATACTTTGCTGCAATAGTTCATCAAGAGTTACTGAAGCAATCCGTTCTCGCTGCCTAAATGTGCGGATAAATGGACCAACAGATGATCAGGTCAGGAGAGAATGGTTTCTTTGTATTGTAATTTTAACTTTTTGTGCTGAATATGAATTTGAGTAAACTAAATGATGGACCAGAAGAATGTAACTATAAATGTTATGTTGCTAACCAACGTGATAAATTTCACTTGTATCTAATTTAATATTTAGATGTAAGTTTAGGAGAAAGAATGCCTTTTCAGATAACAATAATAAAAAGAAAGAAATACTGTAGCCATTTTGTCCTAAAAGCTGTTAAAAAAAAAAGTTACATCTTTTCACCAGATTGTCAAGGTACTAGAGTTCATTGGGAAGAAAGAAGGACTGCAACTTCCATCTGGATTTGCTTCCCGCATTGCAGAAAAATCAAACCGGAGTTTGAGGAGAGCTATACTATCATTCGAGACTTGTCGTGTTCAACAGTTAGTCTCCATTTGGACTCATACTGATCTAAGCTTCTCTCTCACTGCTTGTCATCAAATTACATTGGACATCAATCTTTGAGGATTGGTACTGAGCTGTTAATTTATTTTATCTTTTGGGTTAGGTATCCTTTTGTTAGTAACCAGGCAATACCACCGATGGATTGGGAGGAGTACATCTCTGAGATAGCGTCTGACATAATGAAGGAGCAGAGCCCCAAGAGGTACTTCTCTTATGTACCTTTTTCTGTTGTATTTTATGCTATAACAAACATCTCAATATCATATACGTGTCTTCCCTTCATATACATTAGTTAGGTATTTCTGACACCCCATTTGCTATGCAAACGATAATGCAACCACTTTTGTTTCTTAAAATCTGCTGTCCAACTATTCTTCAAGAACAAATAATTACATGGAGATAAACAATCCTTAAACTTCTATTGATGGTATCCTTGATTATGATGATCTTTTTCTGGTTGGATGAAGGTGGTAGCGTTTCCTGTTCACCATTAGAACTTAGAGTTACCTCTCTGATACTTCACCTTTTTTAGTCGACATTGAATTTTCTTTTTTGAACAAGAAACAACTTCTCATTAATATAATGAAAGGAAATGTTCATGGGATACAAACTCCTAAAGAGGTGAAAACAGAAAAAGAAAAAGAAAAATCAAGAACATAGCGGCAATTACAATCAAATAAAGCTCAGCCCTGGGAATAATAAAACTACAAATGCTTCATGCATTATTAAAAGCTTCTCAGCCACTAGCTCATCCATCAAGACATCTTTTAAATGCTCTTCATGCAAATAAGCTATAATAACTTCCTCAGTTAAAGGTCACTTAAAATCGGAATTTGACTTCATCCCTTAACCAACCAAAATAAATGTTATATGAACTACCTTTTTTCCAACGAATGCATTAAGCACGGGAACATACAATGCTACCTTGGAATTCCACATGAATTTAATGAGCTTTGAATAAACAATATTAACATTTAGCTTTGTAGAAGAACCAAGTTAGAACAACGGTGCTGCTGAAACTTCTTCAAACCCCCATGTGTTCTAGGATAGAATTTTCATTGAATCACAAAGGATAATTATTGAAATCATCTCACTAATTATTGAAATCATCTCACAATCTGACGTTTACAGCCAACTGTTATGAAATCTAAAAGGGAAAGGCCTTGAAACAAAACTTCCAGCTTCCAAAAGTAAAGGAAAGTGGTAAAAAAAAAAAAAAACGAGCTTGTCTTGGTACCCTTGAATTTTCAAACAACTGGTCCCGTTCTTTTAAAACAAGAAGTCTATCAATCAAAGAATTTGATCAATTTTCTGTCAAAAACTTCAATCTTGGTCTCCTAAATTAATACCAAATATGGGCAGTGAAGCCGAATAAATTTCTTTAAAGCTGTTCTTTTAGAATGATCCCCAAAGCCTCTAGTATTCCATGATGTAACTTTCATTGTTGAAACTCACAATAGTTAAACAAATTTTAAAAATCAATTGGGGATGTTGGAGGGATACTACGAATTTGAAGACCACAAATTTTAATTAAAGGAAAATTATTCTTTAAATTGTTGGTGGAGGAGGAGAAGTACTTATTGGAAGAGTTTCACAAGTAGCTGAATTTGTTACTGGAGGCTCATTCTCATTATCCTGAAAAAGAACTAAAGTCTGCGTAAGAGTCCTCCAAAAAGCAATCATTATCAGCCCCAAAATTCTGAGGCTTCAAGAGTTGAGACTGTCTCCACACTACTTAAACTAACATCAGATTCCCCATCCAAATCGATCGAAGGTGATGAAGGCACATGAGAACCTGCTCTGGACCAGTAAGGTTGATATCTGATTGAGATGAATGTTGGAAGCTCAATTTTCAGAGGACATTTGACTCACATTTGCTGAAGAATAGACTTGATTTGGCACTGTTATTAGAAGTCATGAACATGATTCCTCTAGAACATCTTCATTAAAGGCTGACTTTTCTAGAATAGGGAACATAAGAGGAGCTGACTCTTTCTTCCGAGTGTAGTGAAATGGATAGACTTCATTAGATCGTTTTTGCTCTTCTTGAAGATTTCGAGGACTTAAAGCCTCAATAGGTGTAGAAATAACCGATGAAAATGAGAATCTGATGAGTGAAGATTCCTAATCGTTGTTCAACATGTCCTTGACCTTTGTAAGGCAGCAATGGAGGATCTCGATCATCTTTTGTAGTCTTTAGATTATGATTTGGCAGTCTGGACTTATTTATTTCAACCCTTCGGCATCAATGTGGTTGGGCTTAGAGTTTGTCATCCTATCGAAGAGTCTTTGCTTCATCTCCCCTTTAGTAGAAAAAAAGCTTGTTTTTGTGGATAACTGACATTTATGCTTTGTTACGGGGTCTTTGTGGTGAGAGGAACAATATAGTTGTTGAGGAAGTGGAGCGTTCTAGGGAGGAAGTTTGGTGTTCCACACTTCCCTTTCGGGTTCTGTGTATAAGGACTTTTGTAATGATCTATTAGGTATTATCTTGCTTGATTGGAGCCTCCTTGACTTTTGTTTTTGTCAAGCAGAGAAAAAACTATAGAATTGTGAGAAATTGCAATTGTCCTATTCATTTAATTGTCCATTAGAAACATATATGGTGAGAACTAGTGAAAATTTTAATTTTTCTATTCTTTTGTTATTGACTAGTTGTAGAATTGTGCGAGTTTGAAATAAATTGGCCTTCTTTTTGTGGTATAGACTGTACCAGGTTCGTGGGAAGTTATATGAACTACTGGTTAATTGTATTCCACCAGAGATCATATTGAAGGTAATTATTCTTTCCCAATTTCTATTGATTTTTTCTGTCTTAATGTGTGATTTATATTATCTAGTTTCTCAGAGGCTGCTTTATGAGCTACTCAAGAAATTGGATGCTGAATTAAAGCATGAGGTCTGTCACTGGGCTGCATATTATGTAAGTTCATAATTTGACCTGTTAATTTGTTTACATTCCCTTTTATTATTTAATATCAGAACTTTTGATGGAAATTTGAATATCAATCTCATTAAAATAACTTTTGTCCTCTCTGTCTTATGACGAGTTCTCCAAGTTTTCCTTGTTTTGCAATTTCTTGACCTTTCTCGTCAAAAGTAACTAGCGGATTACATCCTCCTATACTTGATAGAACAAGTTCGTATGAACATATATTTGAAAGTAGTTTTTTAAAATTAAATAATGTTCTTTACTTCCGAAAGAAACACCAATCAAGTGTTTCCTCCAAAGTACTTTAAGCATTTGTGTGTTGGAATTTGGTGAATACTGATGGATGGGGAGATTCTGAGAATTGAATAATACAAAATTATATTTGAGATTTATTGTAACAACCCAAGTCCAAGTTCACCACTAGCAGATATTATCCTCTTTGAGCTTTCTCTTTCGGGTTTCCCCTTGAGGTTTTTGAAATGTATCTGCTAGGGAGAGGTTTCCACACTCTTATAAAGAATGCTTCATCCTCCTCTTCAACCGAGGTGAGATCTCACATTGACGATGGATATAGAGAAAAGCAACGAAGAGAAATTTTTTAACAATATATGTCTGTTCTTTTTCCTCTGGTTGGTTCTATTAATCTGTATAATTTCAACCATGTTTTTTTAACTTTATTCCTATGCCATGACTAATTTGTTACTAATGACGTCTGGTCAAATTGGCATCACAATCACGTAAGAAGAGTCATCTACTTACTTAAGTTTGTATCATATTGTGAACACTATAGCGGCGGGCCATAGATCCACATGCATTGGTTCACCAATATGATATCACTGATGAAACATGGCTGCAGAGAGTTTCACCTTTGTTCAGTTTCATATCTCATATTTGCTTAAATCTTTTCCCAGGAACACAGGATGCGACTTGGCCAGAAATCCATCTTCCATATTGAAGGTAAATCCATTTGGTATACAAATATCAGAGTAACTGTTCTGACATGAAAATTTTACGCCTCTGTGCTTCTTTTTTTTCCTCTGATTCTATTAGTTTATCAGCCACGATCTTAATTTCATCATCAAGTGCTGGATAATATCATACAATTTAATGGTTTGTTGAATCATGGATGGATTTGACTCTTCATGCTCTTGACATTTGTGAAAAGATTTCTTGTTCTCAACCTTTTATAGACTCAACTGGAAGAAGCCAAAAAAAATTCTGTCTCTCAGTTTTTAATCTCCCTTTTGGTCTGGTATGGCAGCTTTTGTGGCAAAGTTCATGAGCATATACAAGAGTTTCCTCATTTCAACGTTCGGCTGAAGAAAAAGCAATTGAATGTTCGTAGTTTTAGCGTGTCGGTGAACAAGACAATCTGGTGCCATCTTATGTTCTTCAGTCAGTTTTGTTTGGCACTAGTTTGTTTGTTTGTTCATCATCCTTTAGGTTTTATCTATCAGGGAACTTGAAGCTGAACTCTTAGGGATTTGAACTGAATCTAACATGCCAAAAAATGGAAATTTATTTAGTCATTTTGTTGCACCATCTCCGGGAGATAATGGGAAAAAAATGGAAAATCCCAACCTTATTTGGCTGTGTTTTCATTGCTTTCACTCAAAGTTTGAGGTTAGTTTTGTTTTGATCTTTTATTTTGAACTGTTATGTTTTGAATTTTCATTTGAATTCAACATAGATTTAGATAGGGGACGGTGATTGGATTGATGATAAAATAGAATCTTGGGTCTCGAACAGTGATTTGATTGATGATAAGGAAAGAGAATTCTTGGTTCAGTTCTCCGCGATAGATCAAATTTTATTGAGTCTGGCTCATAGTGATCTTTTATCAAAAAGTGACTTTGGTTATCAAATGATTGAACAACCGGGAGTAATTTACTTACGATATTTCGTTGACATTCATAAAAAGTATCTAATAACTATGAGTTCAATAAATCTAGAACGACGGACAATTCTTGCTCATTATCCGACAATCACTTATTCATAAACCTCGAGATTAATAGTTTGAAGTTCCTTGAATTTGATTTAGTTAAGATATTTTTTAAAATTTAATTCAAATAAAGTAAAAGATTAATATGTAAAATGTTTATTTATTTATTTTTAAATTTATAAAGTAAGATTTCAATTCAATTTGGATGTATATTTTTTTAAAAATTACAACAAAATTATTTTTAAGAGTAGTTGGATTATAAATAATAGAATAAGTAATTATGAAATTAAATAAAATATAAATTTAGATCCGTTAAACAGATAAACAATCCAACTTAACCCAAATTATAATCGGGTTTTTTGAGTCACCCAATTTTTTAAATATCTCTAATATTTGTTTATAACCTAAAAATATTTTTAACAAAAGCATTTTCATATTACCATTTCATTATTAAAAGTAAAAATTAAAAAATTAAAAAAAAAAATAATAATAAAAAAGATAATTGAAAAACTTTAATATAAATTGAAAATTGACATGCTTTAAGCCCAAAAAATGTTCAAAAGAATTTCCTTAGAAATTCCATCGATTCTCGAATTGAGAGGATCGGGACTGCTACCTTCGCTCCGCCATTTTTCTCTCCCACCACTCTTCGTTGATTCGATCAGATTTCTGCAACTCTGTCTAGGGTTTGATATTCTCCAAGTTCAGTCAAGAAAAATCTGAAGGTAGTTCTGTCTTTCGACTATTTCCGGCTGAAATTTCACCATGGTTCTTATCCTTGCCCTCGTTTGGATTTTCGCCCTTCCTTTAATAATTGAGAATTTCTCGGAATCTAGACGCGCTTTTATTCCTGTTCCCGTTCGAGTTTTCATGTATGAGAAGAAAGGTTGAGAAATCGTTGTGATAGTGTAGGGTTTTGGTTATCTTGTGGTGAAGCTATTGCTTGATTATTATCTATTTTGTATGTGTATTATTACTATTAATTTTTTTGGTTGGCGACGTTTGTTTGCTGCGTTTTATTGATTCATAAAGTGACTGTTTTAGTTTGTTACGCTCGGAGACTGTTTGTTTAACGCTGACTTATTTCATTATTGGGGTTCAGGTTTACCAACGTTGATTAGGCTGGAAGTCTGATTTAAGCTTCGTCGAATAGGGAATTTTAAGTTGAAAAAGGAGAAAGTTCCTTCTTTTCGGTCTATATTTTGCTTCTGGAAATTTAGCTGAGTAACAATGTCGGTAACCGCGGGTGTTAGTGATACTGTAATTGCTGTTAGGGATAAACTTAGAGGTAAAATTGGACAAACAAAAGTTAAGAGGTACTGGCCTGGAAAGGCACCCGAGTGGGCGGATGATGCTGATGAAGATGGCGATATTAGGATGTCCAGGGTGGCAGCGCTTGAGAAAGCATTTCCAAGTCAGGAAGATTCAGATCTTTCTAAGAAGGACGACCCTAGGTTGCGCCGTCTAGCTGAGAGTCGGATAGATAATCGGGAGGAGATCAGAGCTGATCATCGACGTATTCGCCAAGCTGAGATTGTTTTGAACATTGAAGAGGAAACTCGAAGGCAGGAGGGAATAGATGCAGAGGAAGAGGACGAGGATGCTTTGGAGGAAAGAAGAAGAAGAATCAAGGAAAAGTTGCGACAAAGGGAGCTAGAAGAAGCTGCATTCCCTATAGAAGAAGAGGAGGAGGAGCCAGAGGAAGAGGAAGAAGAGGAGTCTGAGTATGAAACTGACTCAGAAGATGAACCTACTGGTATAGCAATGGTGAAGCCAATATTTGTTCCTAAGTCAGAGAGAGAGACAATTGCTGAACGAGATCGTATTGAAGAGGAGGAAAGGTCTCTTGAGGAATTGAGAAAAAGGAGATTGGAGGAAAGGAAGGCAGAGACAAAGCACATTGTGGTTGAGGAGATTAGAAAGGATGAAGAGATCCAGAAGAATTTGGAAATGGAGGCAAATATTGCTGATGTGGATACTGATGATGAAATTAACGAAGCCGAAGAATATGAGGCTTGGAAGGTTAGAGAGATCTCGAGGATCAAGAGGGATAGAGAACTCCGAGATGCAATGTTGAAGGAGAGGGAGGAGATTGAGAAGGTGAGAAATATGACTGAGGAAGAGAGGAGAGAATGGGAGAGGAAGAACCCGAAACCTGCTCCACCTCCTAAGCAGAAGTGGAAGTTCATGCAGAAATATTTCCACAAGGGTGCATTCTTTCAGGAAGATGCTGATGATAATGCTGGAACCGCAGGATCTGATACTATTTTCCATCGTGATTTCTCTTCCCCAACGGGAGAAGATAAGATGGACAAGACAATATTGCCCAAGGTTATGCAGGTCAAGCACTTTGGTCGTAGTGGGAGAACAAAATGGACTCATCTTGTCAATGAAGATACAACTGACTGGAACAACCCGTAAGTTAATTTAACTTTGTTTACTTTCTGCTTCTCAATTTCCTATCTTAAAGTATTGCAATGTCAATTGGGATTTCTTAATTGAGTATCCCTTTTATACCTAGATTAAGTACAATACGATCCATTAAAAAAAAGCATCTAATGCCTTGTCTACTCATTGAGATTGTGTTAAGTAGAGAATGATGAAAATAATTTGGGTATGAGCATGAGGTTAATGGACGTGCTGAGCTTAATATTTGAGATTGAGGCTTTTAGTTTGTATATATATCTACTGGAGAATATGAAGATATGATTAGAACGATGCCCTGTTTCCAAGGGGTCTTCTCTGTTTGTTTGTTTTTTTTTTTTTTTTTTT